AAAAAAAAAAAAAAAAAAAAAAAAAAAAGCTAGTTATAATATGACCAGGTCAGGCAAATTTGAAGTTGAAATTGTACAACAGTTAATTCGCTTAAACGATTCGTAAAAGGTACGATTGGAACAAACATGGAAAATGACTTAAAAAAACGACAAATTCGGACAAGTGTGCGTCGTGGCGCGAGCACAGGTACGGGAACGCATACGTACATAGGTACACACGTACGTGGGCACATGAGTACATACATACGCATATAAGTGCACACATACACGTACTTTTACAACTACACGCATGCGCGCACATATAGACGACGCACACGCCCAAGACAAGGGGAGGAAAACAAACATAAGCCAGGCAAAGGTGTAAAACTTAAAAAAAACCACGAAAAAAATTTTCATTTGGGGGCGGTTCCCCCCTCTTGGGCATATGGGGCATACCACCCTGAGGAACGGAAGTAGCTCAGAAGAAAGAAAAAAAAATTAAGATAATCATACGGGTGTGACAGTGACGGGAAAGATGGTGGATGGGATGATGATTTAGACAGGAGTAGATCCTTACTCAGACTTAATTTATTATTTTTTTTTTTTCTTTTCGAAAAATTAATAAAGGGATTTTATATAGGTAGGATAAGGTTTTCAGAAAAAAAAGGGGGATTTGAAACAAAATTAATTTTCGAGGGGAGGTAAGAACAGGGCCAAAATAGCGGAGCCAAAGTAGAGTAGTCAACTGAAGGAGGCAAAATAGGGAGGGCCAAATGGGATAAGCAAAAAGGATGGAGGAGAGAAGGAGGGGGCATGCAGTGTACATGTTGACAAACAGATATGACGTAGAAGACATATATCTCATATGCGCTTGTGTACGCATATAACAACATAGGGGAAGGGCGAGGGGCCCGTACAATATACACACATCTGTGTCGCACAGAATACGTAAATGTATGCATACACACATAACGCATACACCTGCATGCACATACCTACACGCACACACGAATAATGCTCCCACTGCACGTGGAAAGGAAAAATGGACGAACAATACATCATACTCACACGTAAAAAGAACCCACTTCGAGGTCTATGCTATGTTACTTAACAAGAAGAATTTTTCAATAAGAAAAAAAAAAAAAAAAAAATGAGATAAATAGGATAATAAAATGACGAAACGAAAATAATAAAGCAAACTTGTCAATCACGTGTCTTCCGTCGCTATAAGTCAGATGAACAACACACTAGCTCCACTACCGTTTGATCCATTTGAACCTGGCTTTGCTTTTACGTCGCTTTATTTTATTATTTTTTTTTAATCATAATCTGGTTTTGGTGTAAGACACTTTGATGAAGCGATCTTTCAGGTAGAAATTGTGGAGGTCCATTAACGCCCTTGTTGCCTGAAAAAAGAAAAAAAAAGAATGTTAAACGTGTCCACCAGCAGGATTGATAAAAAAAAAAATATATATATATATATATATTTTTTCCCCTCCCACATCCTTTTATATAGTGTTTACGTGGCTTGTTCTGTTGCCGTGCTGCAACCTAGTTTAATTACTCTCCTCATTCCTTACCGTGTCTTCTGAGCTCAGCTCCACTGTGATGGTTATGTGTTTCTTTCCCTCCTTAACTGGTTGGATTTTAATTTTTTTAATCTCTCCGTACTTCATAAAAAGGTTCATCATGCATTCCTCCGTTACTTCTTCGCTTACGTTCGATATGAACAGCGTTTTGGTTGGCTTGCACGCGCCCTTTATGTACTTCGCTTGATCCGCCAGCTGCACAGGAAGGGGGAAGAACATGAAAGAACAGATGCACATGTGTGTTTTTTCTCGGGTTTGATAAGCGGCCATACAAATCAGGGGTGTGCCCCCACACGCATATGTTCACATGATGCAAAATATTCACAAACGCGCCAATCATTCCCTTGCGGGCCATACCAAATATCTTTGATCATAGCTGCTGAACGTTTTGGCCTTGTATGACTCGATTTTTTTCTGCTGCGGCGCAATACGGATGTCTAGAATTTTTGAAAAGTGGAGCTCCAAAACTTGGTCTCCAACTTTGGCGTGCTGCAAACACTCCTGAGCCACTGAGGCGAACAGATAGCCCGCGTACTGGATGAGAGCGGAGTCGGGTTTCTCCCGCAGGATTTTTATTCGAGACACGAAGCCGTATACGCTGAACAGGTTGAAGAGCTGTTGGACGGGGGGGGGAAGTAAAATGGGGGCGGTGTATAAACGTTCCGTCACAGTGCAGCGTAGTAATGACGCGTTACAGTGGGGCGTAAGAAAAAAGGGACCCCCAAATAAATCTGGGCAATGTTCATCACACCGTCCGTGCGGAACAGATGCACACGTCGCCCACTCCTCACCTTATGCACATCCGTGTAGTCCTTCGGGATATTGTAACAAATCAGAACCGGCGTTTTCGAGGTGTTCTTCGCGTCGAAGTCGACTAGCTTGAATTTCCTTTCCAGCATGAGGTACAGCTCGGAGTCGTTTCCCTTCCCTGTACAGGCGAAAAAAAAAAAGGACATTTTATAATGAGGGGCTTAAACAATATTTTTTTAGGGTCGCACCAATGGGGGAAAACGCTGCGCGGGGAAAAAACTGCAACAACACCTAACTAATAAGAAGCTATTGTGTGTTTCCGTTTCAGCCGCCACGCAAGTTCACTGCTAGGCAAATGATCCCCTCCCTGTCTTACGTGTCGGAGTAGGCAGCACACCATGCGAGGTCTGGACATTCAAGGGGTTCTTATTTTTGCCCAAGTTGGCCGCTGTGTAATCCCGCGAGCTGGAGTTGTTTGCCTTCACAACTAGCTCCTTTAAAACGGAGTACTGAATTTGTATAGTGTTACACCCATCATATATGTTCCTATTGTGTAGCGTCTTAATAGCTTCCTGTGCAGTCTCGATGTTTTGAAACTGAACTAAGGCTTGATAGATCAGCGGGTTCCTCGAGAAGGTGATGATTTTTTCTACCGTTCCGCATTTGCTAAACAGATAATATATTAAATCAATGTCCACTGGGTAGTGTAGGTTGAGGACAGACACAAGGATGACTCTTGAGGTCTCGTTTTTGTTGTGCTTGCCTGTTTTTTTATTTGTGCCTTCTAGGACCTCCTTCGTGCTTGTCACGTTGACGCCACTGCCCAGGTTATTTCCATTTCCACCAATGAGACCGGCCATGGGGTTGCCCATGGGGCTGCCAACGAGACCGCCAATAGGGCCACCCATTGGGCCAGCATTGGCAGAGGCATTCGCGGAGACGCTCCCGCTTTCGTACTCGTCCAAGGTCTCCTTATTAACTGCGGACACACCACCATCGTCACTAAGCTTAGAAAGCTTCACGCTCACGAAGGAACCCTTGATCTGTGTTGGGTGTTCATTAAAGTAGTTGAAAATATTCTTATTCAATTCGTCATCATACAGCTTAACAATAATTCCATCCCGTTCAAATATAATTTCAGGATTCATATTTTGAATAAATGGCCTCATAAAGGATTTGATATCCCCCTCGTCCGCATCTCTTGGTACGTCTTTCAAAACGAGGAATGTGTTGAAGCAATTTTTCTCCTTCTTGAGGAACGGCATACCGCTGTACTTGCTGCCCTTTCTTTTCTTACTGTCGCTGGGGAAGTATATGTTCGGGGGCTGGTTGTTCACTACGCCGTCGCTGGGGGTGCAGCTGTTCGCCACGCAAGTGCTAGCGACACAACTGCTAGCGACACAACTGCTAGTGACGCAACTGCTAGTGACACAACTGCTAGCAACGCAACTGTTAGCGACGCAGCCGTTGCCAACGCAAGCCCCCCCCACGACGCCTCCGTAGCCAAACTCGCTCATCGTGGTAACGCCCCCGTACTTGGTGTTCTCCCGGTCAGTGTTCATACTCGTATCAATCAGGGTGGTGCCTCGACTCATACCACAACTCATATCCACCTCCTTATCATTTCCATTCATGCCGTTGCTCATGTCATTATGAACGTAGCCCTCTTCCTCCTTCATGTCTATAAGAGCATTGGCATTCATTTTGGACGCGCAATTTTGTTCGTGAAACATTTTCTGGCTTTCAAATGGGTCGTCATTGCTCATCAGGTATCTCTTCACGCCGATCTTGTTTTTCTCGTTTTCGTTTTCGTCATTGGATAAGGTCCTTTTATTCATTTTTCCTTTACTCTTTTTATTGTGGACAGTTTCTAATTTTGTACTTTGGCCAATTTGCCCTTCTTCCTCTATAACGCTGTGTTGCGTTTTTTTTTTTTTTTTTTTTTTTTTTTTTTTTTTTTCTACACTTGATTACTCTCACGCGAGGCAATCTTTGTAGCCTTTGACAAATGTATGTGTGGCAAGGACAGGAGGGACATGCACACAAAACGTGAATGTCAAGATGTAAACAGGGGACAGAGACGACAATGTAACACGGGAGGACAAATGGACGTCGACCTGCACGTTCGCAGTGATCACCCCTTGTGGTCTTTTCCCCCAAAAGATTCTACGCACAACTGCACCAGGGGGAGTCGTTATATGCGTAAGTAACGGCTACGAGCGGAAGGTGATGCCCCAAAGGGAAAAAAAAAACACACAGTCCACTCGAAAAAAGAGAGGTGCTGGATGGAGCGTTTAAATGCATGTACAGGGGACGTGGCACCAAAAAGGGAAAAACAAACGGGTAGGCACAAATGGGAACAACATAAAGTCACAACAGAACGTCACAGCACTCGGAACAACGCCCAAACATACGCAAGAGCATTAACTCGCGCACGCTAGCGTAGGGACGATGTCGAAATGGGGAATGCGACAAGCCAACGGTGGGCCAAAAAAAAAAAAAAAAA